ATTAATTATAAATATAATTGTTTTAAATATTGGAAATAAGATTAACCTTAAATATCAAGCATAATTCATACTCATTTGTAAAATGATTTTTATTTATTATAGATGTATCTATTTATTTTCATAACTTTTAATGTATTATTTTTTTTGGTAATAGACAGATTCAATGACTATCAAATTTCAATTCCTCGTTTTGGATATAGTCGCTATTATTCAATTATTTATTAACTCGAATCCGGCTGAAAATTTAATTGAAACGGTATAGTTATTTCACATTTTTAAAATAATCATAAGTATAATTAATCTCTGTACAGTTGATTACTTTTTTTTAAATTTTTTATGACAGAGCTCTGCGATTGGATTAGCAGCTTATAATCTAAATTGGGTCGAAAAATCACAAAAGATGTCAAAAAACATACTTTTTCTTATTCAAAGATCTCAAAAGCCAGTTATAATCAGGATTAATGGATTTTTACCAACATTATCTTTATCTTATTACATGTCGGTATGTTTGCAAACTCATTGTTAAATAATCTTAATACTTTAAAAAGACGCAGATAATATTATTTTAAATATTTCAGTTCCTGTCCTCATCATTATCGTATTTTACAACAATGAGAGCCGCAGTTAATTAAACATTTAAATTGTTTCTTTTGACATTAATACACGTGTAGAGAATCTATAATGATGGTAGCGTAAAATTTCTAATCAGAAATTAGATTTTAATAATAATAATCTTCCGAATATCATTTTCCTATTTGAAACGTATTAACATAAATATGTATTTAATACAAAATTAAAAAATATAATTAAAACTGTAGATAAAATAATGGAATAGGATGTACAAAAAAATTCTTGGTTTCAAATTAAATTAAAAATCCGAAGATATATGTTACTTGAAGGAAATAAGAACAACTAAACGACTTTGACCGTTTATTATTAACCTTTGATAGTTAGTTTTATAATTTGTGCAAAAATAACATTCGTGCTCTAGCGAGTAAATGGTAAATGTTGAAAAAAGTATGCGAATTTATTATCGAAATTGTTCATTGCTAAACATTCGAAAAATCTACGAGTCGTAAAATTGCATTTTAGTGAAACTCATAGATACTTAATTATATGTTCGAGAACGTGTACCTGTGAAAATGTTCTTGAGTGTAATCTTCCTTCTTCGCACTACATAACACTCCAACAAACTTTCAACAGAAATCTCGTGCAACAGTAATCCCACATTAGTGTCAACCTTCGGATATTTCACCTTCTTATGCATGCGACATATTCAACTCGGCACCATAAGAGTCACTCTAAATGTTCTAATTGTCTTTCCGAGAGAATTTTATTATTCTTCTACTCTAAATTCTTTCATCATTTTATTTTTTAAACATCCAAATATAATAAAAAATGATAAGGAATAACTTTGTAAAATTAATTATATTATATGAATTTGTTTTACTCATTTATTCCAATACTTTTATCAATATTAAATATTTCTTCCTAAAATTATTTTTTAAGTTGAACCAAAAGTTCAATTCCTAAAGTAAATATCCACGAATCCAATTCACAAACTTACTTTTACTTTATGTAATTGTAAACCTTGACACATATTTTAAAAATTTGTTCTTAACAAAAATGATCTCTCACTTGTCTGTTTCCAAATAAAAGAAAAAGAAGTGCTCGTTCATCGTATACCTAAAATTACAATTTCTTAATAATGCGAGAAAAAGAAGTTTATCGACTATCGAAGTGAAACAATGAACGATATAATTACGAAGGATGATACAACGTTATTTATTTATTCATGTAAAAGAAGTTCGACGAAGGAAGATCCGGAAGAAACCGCTTAACTCCTTTCCACATAATAATTTAMGATAATAACAGATATGTGTAAGAAACGAAACATAGCGTGTAAAGAACTTCTGACTGATTTATTCCCTTCATCGAATGGCGATAGTGGAAATTACGTTTTATAAAAGGGAACTTCAAATGAGGATTTACATAAGAATATCGAGCGAACAATATACGAGAATTTCTTCGAATAATATGTTATAGTAAAATCGAAGAAGGAAATACTTCATTTGGTTTATCTTTAAATACAAACTATTTCTAACATATATTGCCAATAACGTTCAAATCAATCACATTAATAAGAAGATAATTCTATTGTCATGACATTTACACTGGAAGAAGCATTAAAATTTACGAAAAGAAGCGTAGCCTTGTTAGTTTYTTGGCCACCGCCAATGAACGCATCTAAAACAAAATTGTTTTTTCTCGATTTATATTTTTCTATTTCTTTTCTTTGTGCACAAACATTTTTATTAATGTTGTTGTACGGTATATACGTTAATCGAAATAATTTAGAGATMATGATACAAACAATGTGTATTATAATAGCTGTTATACAAATGAGTATAAAAATGCTAGCATGTAGAATACAACGTTCAAGTTTACAGGTGTCATAAAATAATATAATAATTTCTATTAATTAGTTTCTTTTGAACTCAAACGATTTACTATTAAATTAATTTCATCGTTTTAGTCAATTATAGTGGAAATGGAAAATGTTTTTAAACAAGCAAAACCATACGAAAAAACGATACTAACGAAATACGTGGACAGATGTTCTATACTTCACATATCTCTTACCTTTGGCTTTTATTTAGCTGCTACAAATATTGTTCTGGGACCAATATTTTTACCACAACCATTACCAACTTTTGCWGTCTATCCGTTCAACGTGGAAACCCATCCAATATACGAAATTGTTTATTTTATGCAAGCAGTGACTTGTATACAAGCATCTACAGGTGCAACGATTGATTGTCAAGTAGCTATTTTACTCTGGTTCGCTGGTGCAAGATTTGAAATGTTACAAATTGATATATCAAATACTGTAGACGAGTATGATCTCAAATTGTGTATCTTTAAACATCGACAAATTCTCTGGTAATTTTTATCACTAAAATCAATTATAAACTATATTTTTATTTTTACGATAAAGTAAAGATTTATCTTTTTTTTTATTTTTTAGTTATGCAGATAACGTTGTCAAAACTGTACGTTTTGTGATTTTTGCTACTGTAGGTATTACTACCATATTAATAGTATCCAGTGGACTTTTATTCCTTTTTGTTAGTATCATTTTATATGTTATAATAATTTACAATATTAATCATTTAACTCGATTATTATTAATTCATTTTATTTGCCTATATTTTATTATAATCACATTATTGTTTTAAATATTCGTAATAAAGTTTGCCCTAAATATCAAACAAAATTTGTACTCACGTGAATAATGATTTTTCTGTACTATAGACGTTGCAACGATTTTCTATAACTTTCGATGTTTTATTTGTTTTGATAATAGACAGATTCAAGGACGATCAAATTTCAATTCCTCGTTCTGAATATTGTCGCTATTATTCAATTATTTATCAACTCGTATCCGGCTGAAAATTTAATTGAAATGGTATAGTTATTTCACATTTTTGAAATAATCATAAGTATAATTGATCTCTGTACAGTTGATTATTTTATTAAAAATTTTTTATGACAGAGTTCTGAGATTGGATCAGCAGCTTATAATCTAAATTGGGTTGAAAAATCACAAAAAATGTCGAAAAACATACTTTTTCTCATTCAAAGATCCCAAAAGCCAGTTATAATCACAATTAGCGGATTTTTACCAGTATTATCTTTATCTTATTATATGTCGGTAAGCTTTCCGTTACTATAAAAATTATTAGGTTGTTCTAAAATAACACTTGTTTTTTTTTTTCTTCTAAATACATCGATTTGTTTCATTATTATAATTATTTCAGTTCCTGTCTTCGGCGTTTTCATTTTTCACAACAATGAGAGCTGCAGTTAAATAAAACATTTAATCTAACTTTTTGTATATCTGTAAATGTCAGTATTTATTGATGAAATTATTATTAAAAATTTAATTTCAATAATAATGTACTCGTATAATATTTTAACTTTCATCTATTTTTAATAACTTTATCTATAAAATGATTTTAAAAATTGCTACAATTAATATCTAAAAACGATATCTCAAGACTTTTTCTAACAAACTTACTTTCAATTCGATTTTTGAATTCATGGAACACACACACACACACACACATGAGAAATTATTCTCTGAAAAATAAAAACCTCTCAACTAATGTCAGTTTTCGCTGAAAGAAAAGAAAGAACTCGCTTATCGTATAAGCGGAATCTAGAATTTATTCCTTAATAATACCTAGAAGAAAATCTAACATAAGAGAAAGAAAAGGTGGAATAATGAAGTTATCGAATATGCGAAGAAATAAACGATAATTACGAACCATAAGAAAAGCCACAAGATGAGCTTCTTAATTTATTCATCCTCTGTGAAAAAAGGGTAAGGGAAAAATAAAGAGCAAAAAGAAGTATAACTTCAATAATATGTTTCTCTATATGCATGATGGAATACGTAAACACATATGCAAGAGATACGATAAAATACTTTTCTACATTTTTCAGACTATAGATTTGAAATTACAGGAAGGATAAAGACAATGAATCAAAAATGAATCTAAATTTGTCTATTTAAATGATAAATCCTAAAATGAATTAAACATGGGACACTATTATTCGAGAAATAGAATAAATCAACTTGAAATTTGATGAAAGCACATATTCTTCACTAACACACACACACGCACACACAAATGATGACTTTAGTTGCATTATAAAGTAATTGATAATAATTGTTACAACATGGAAGCAACATTGTGAACATAATTCATCTAATGATTTATTTATATACTACCGTGTGATCCACATACACGCACAATTGTATACATCATTTTTGAAATGTGCTTGCAAGAAGTTAGATTTCTACATTATCATAATCGAATATCGAATTAATATTCGGAAATATTTCTCACTCGCGAATATCATTAATTTTAATTGAAATTAGATTATTAAAATTTAATAAAAAATAATGTTAAGTGTTTCACCGAATACTGCGTTGAAGTTTACTAAATTGAGTGTTATCATAATGGGCTGTTGGCCACCACCTTTAAATGCAACAAAAAAACAACTATTATTGCGTGACGTTTATTGGTGGTCAACGTTTACGATAGCTTTACTTTTGATTTTAGCATTAATTAATGGGATTTTCGAGTATCGTCATAATACTTTAATTACAGTACAAACTACGTGCATTCTGGCAGGTGTTTCTCAAGTGTGTTTAAAAATGATCTTAATAAGAATACAACGTTGGAAATTTCAAGTAAATTAACAGTTGTTTCTGGTTTTTTTTTCATATATCGTTTGATATAGGTTCATGTGATATTTTTATATTTTATTTCTTTTCACGCAGTCGATAATTCAGGAAATGGAAAATTTCGTGGAACAAGCCAATTCGTTGGAAAAAGTCATTTTACAAAATTACGTGAACAAGTGTTGGATATTTCATTTAACAATGTCCATTGGCTTTTATGTGATTTGTTTTGGTCTTGTTCTAGGACCAGCAATATTATCCCAACCATTTCCAACTTTCGCGAAGTATCCTTTCAAAGTGGATTCACATCCGATATACGAGATAGTTTACTTTCAGCAAGCATTTGTTGGAATACTAGCAGCTGTCGGTGGTACCATTGATTGTCAGAATGCGGTTTTATTGTGGTTCACTTCAGCGAGATTTGAAATCTTGTCTATCGAATTAACAAGACTTATGGATTTCGACAATATAAATTATTACATACGTAAACATTTACAATTGCTTAAGTAATTAATACTCCGATTATTTTAATCTAAGTTATTGTCTTAATCAAAAACAATTAGGATTGTTCTATTAAATTTTCTTTTTTCTTTTTTTTAGATATGCACGGGATGTTGTGTTAAGTGTGCGTTACATCATTTTTATCACCAATTGTATCACAACTTTGATAATGATATTCGGTGCATTGCAAATTATTTTTGTTAGTTATCGAAAATTTATTTCTATTTTGTTGTCATTGTTGTTTAGTAAAATTAATTTTTAATGAATATTCTTTTCAATAACAGGCAAAATCAACAACCATAAGAATTCAATTCATCATTCTCTTAATTGGTGCAACAATACAATTGTTCATAAGCTCACGTCCAGCTGAACATTTATCAGAAATGGTAAACAAAATTGAATCAATATAAAATCATTTCATTATAAAACTAATGATCATATATATGTTTCATAAAAAGAGTATAGCTGTTGGTTTATCAATTTATAATTCCAATTGGATTGGAAAATCTTCAAAGGTATTAAAAAATATGTGCATCTTGGTCCAAAGATCCCAAAAACCGATAATCATCACAATCAATGGAATTTTACCAGCGTTATCCCTAAAATACTACACTTCGGTAAAATAATATATTTAATAAATATAATAATAATTATTAAAAATAAAAATATTCTAATAAACATCATTTTACAGTTTCTATCATCGTCGTTCTCATACTTTACAGCGTTACGTGCTGTAGTTACTTAAAAAATAGATCAATCAACTCGACCATTATTGGTAGAGAGAAAAATTATATAAAATCATAACTAAAAATAAAAAATAGAATTAAAATATTTAATCTGAAAGAAATATAATAATTTATATATATATATATGTACATTCAAGGTATAAGCTTAAATTAATCATGTATAGAGCGTGTAAAGTTATCTTTTGCATACCATGTAAAATAATTATATACTACAGTATATATAATTATGCACCATATATTCTAAAGCCAAAGAGGAAAATGAAGTAACTAACGTAACTGTAGCAAGAGAACAAAAAGAAAACATATATCCCTTTTCAGGATATCTCAATATGGTAACCTGAGTTTATGAAGATGGATATGCATTGTTATTATTCCTAACGCACAGACGCATACATATATAGTATAGCTACCTTTCCATTTATCACCGTTTCCTGTAATCGAACTTACTCTTCCGAGAAGGAAATAAAGTGCTACAGTATTATACATACTCCTAATACTTTGATAAAACAGTTGCGGATTGTTATAATAATTCTAGAAAATGAAAATAACTAATTCATTTGTAATCCAGTAGTATTAGTAAATCATATATAAAAAAACAACTTATTTTCTAATTTTAATTATTATAATTTGTAATATGAGTACATGTAAGTATTCATCGATTTTGATATAGTTAAATAATTCATTTAAATGTGATTGATTAATATATTTTTTTAGCTTATAGATTTTCTATGTAACAATCTCCCTGTAGTGAGATCTGGGTCAGTATTATTTGCGATTCATCAAAATCTTAAACAATAGTACATTTGATTATTTAATATTATTAATAAATTATCAATAATGTAATTTTATTAATTATATCGATCAATATAATGTTATACAAATTTCATATTTCTTGTAATTAATTTTCTAAATAATTATTAATCTTATGTATAACAAGGATTATTTTCAAAGATTTCAAAGCTTTATGAAATTCGCGCCAATTTTTATAAAGATCTATGATTGGTTGACATTATTTTAATTCCCGGAAGTATTAAAATAAATAAACTACATTTGTTACTGCGCCTGTACGTAGATAACCGTAGTTTATATTTTACTCGCACTTGTGGATACGGAACGTCCTATGTTCTAGGAAGTTATTTATCTTTGATACAATTTTATCGTTAAAATAAATTATAAATCTTAACATTTAAAAGAGTAAAACAATAATGTCGACAAAATCCTCAGTGGATTTAAGAGCTGAATTAGCGGAACTTGTAAAGCGTAAAGCTGAAATTGCTGTAAGTAAAATGTTGTTATTGTACCTTATTATAAAAAAAAAAAGCATTTATCAGTAATTTTATTGATCTATTTAATCAATCGAAAGTTAAAATAAATTATTTTATGTTTATTTACGAAAAATATGTGTAAATAGAACGAATTTCTATGCCTCAGCATGCACCGACCTTTGAGGTTATGTTGTTAGGTTAAAGTTCTTATTTGACAGTATCATTAATCTAATTTTATCATTTTATTTAAAATCTATTTAATTACATAGCTTTTCTTGTATTGTTTAACTTTTTTATAGATATATTATCATAATTATTTATTTAAATGAATTAAAATGTTGTTGTATTTACATAGGATACTTTAGCAAATTTAGAACGTCAGATCTATGCATTTGAGGGAAGTTATTTGGAAGATACACAATTATATGGAAATATAATAAGAGGATGGGACAGATACCTAGCCAGCAATAAAAATACTAATAGCAAAGCCGATAAGCGTAATAGGAAATTCAAGGAAGCAGAAAGATTATTTTCTAAATCATCTATCACATCAATGGCGGTGACTAACCGTTCTTATCTACATTATTGTATCTAATTAATTAAAATGACATAATAAACATATTTGATCGGCTTATATTAATTCCTTGTTGCAGGCTGTTAATGGTCTTGTGGAGAACACACAAGAAAAAAGTAAGGACCTGAATGGATATTAATTATCTATTTATTTACAAAATGAATATCTCAATGCCTTTGAATTTTTTTTTTCTTATTTTCCTTTCTCTAGAACTTATTGCAGTTTAATAGTTTCTGTCGCATAAGTAGCCATATTTATCTAAGTTTTCATTTATTGATTTTATTTATACTGTGCCATTATGCTCTTTATATATATATATATATTTTATTTTTTAATATTACAAAAGTAATTTTATAGTATGTAGCATTTAAGTATTTCACTGAAATCATTGTTATCAAATATAATTTTATTTAAAGTTATAATTATTGTATACATTATGCATGAACGTTAAAGTCTTAAAATTGAATTCTCTTCAAAGAACCGTCAATTCATTTTCTCAAAAACTTTTCATATGTGACTTCGCTATTATATAAAAAGTTATTTCTGTAATACGTCCAAGTGGTAGTTCTCTTAAATCCTTGTTTTAGTATCATAAAAATAATTTAGCTTGATCCTAGTGTATGCATCTATTCGTCAAATCTCCACTTCCATCGCTACAAATTAATGTATGATAGAAACTGTTTTAGTCAGTGTGTTTTTGTAATACGCTTGTAAGACAATGATTGCACGTATAACGAGCTTTCTTTTTCCATTCTACGCTTCTCTAAATTTGTTTATTATAATCATATTGTGTACTGTTAACCTCAGCCCGATCATTCCAGTTGAACGATACAGTGAATCGGAGTCTCAAATTGGAAACAGCGGCAGTGAGGATAATTGCAACTTCAACAATTCTAATACAATCTCTAGCAATAACAAGGAAACAAGTGGGAAGAATCATACTTCTGTACAAGCCGGATATACTCAAAATAATGGTACTGTTAGCAACCCTGATTCTGCTTCCACCCCTTTCTCCAATGGACCTATATCCAATGGCAACATAGAACATGTTCCTACGCCAATCAAGGATTGCCATAATAACAGTAAAGACTCCAATAAAACCAAATCATCTACCAATAGTGCTAAAAAAAATAGTAACAAAAGATCAAGAAACAGATAGAATTAATAATGATCATTAAATTACATGCTTCTCTTCGTGTTCACAAGTGACATTATTATTTATGAACAAATTTCTATCTTTCAAAGTAATTTAATGCAAACATCAAAGTGTATTAAGGTATCAAAGTATCGACATTAGAAAAAGGAACACGCGGGTTGTTGTTTACAAAAAAAAAAAAAAAAGAAAAATAGGTTTCAAAGAAAATTATTAAATTTGAAAAGCAATGTGCTCCGAATGAAGTTTTTTAACCATTTGTACCTTTGATGTAGAAAGAAATTAATTTAGCGCACACAATGCGTTTTTAATAAATTAATTACGTAATTATAATATATAATTGAAAAAAAAGAAAGAGAGAAAGCTATCGGCGTTCTTATAATTGCAATCATCGTCATTGTTAAATACTTATAAAATATCTATATTAATTGTATAGAAATGTTTTTCTATACAATAATAAGCTAAATGCAGTAATAAAACGGACAGAATCTTATGCGTGAGTAAACTAATTATTAAAGGATATAATAAATTTGTTTTAAATGTAATTCGTAATGTACCTGTCCGAATGTAGTAAAAAAGTATTTTACATGTACTGTTATATCTCGGTGAGATATATCTCAATTCGTCCAGCTGTTTTAGCAAATATTGTGTGTGTGTGTGTGTGTGTGTTGTGTGTTTGTGTGTGTATGAATGTCTTATTTTATTATTTTTTTCTTTTTGTATTAAATATTCTTATTTCTGACACTAGCTTTATACAAGGTGTCCAAGGTATTGTCAGCCAAACGGTTTCAGCGTATTCTATGCACAAAAATATGATAAAAAAAGTTATATAAGCACAGGTTGTTCTTTTTTCTTATTTTCCTGCATAGAATATATTGACACCGCGTTTGATCGAAAAAATCTCAAATATCTTGTATATTCAAATTCTCGACTCTTCTGTATAGTAGATTTTCTGTCTATACAGAATTATCGTTTATAGATAGATAATATAAAATATTGAATAATAAATTAACTCTAAACAATACACATGAGAATGGTTTATATAAATATAATAATATAGTATATATTATATACATTATGTACCTTAGATAAAATAGCTAAAGCACAGTCTGCGTTAGACTCCAGCGTCATTAAGTACAAATTTAAAAAGTTCTAATATACGTTGAAGCCTCACATTCCTTAAGTCACCCCATTTCTTATTATTATTTTTTTATTAGTATTATTAATTACTTGCAAGGAACTATTATTACATTCCGTCGATTCTTTTATGTTCCTATAAAAAAAAAAAAAAATAAAAAGAACAATTAATATTATATCATAAAAATATAAAAAAAAAAAATTGATTACCATGAAGAATCAATGTTGTCGCAATTTTTTAATATCTCCGTTCAAAATAGATGCCGGTACAAATGCTTTCACATTCTCCGAAGATTTGTTTTTCTTCGGAGGTTCACTTCTCGTGACAACGGCGTTAAAACCATTGTGATCATCGGCCGTGTAGGAAACTGTTCGAATGGTACCATCAGCCTCGACTACCGAGTATTCTCCCTTCACAGTATCTCCGTCTCTTTCTTCCCACGCAGATTTAGAATCGCCAGTGTAGCCATCGATAACTCCGTAATTAAACGAATACTTTGGATAAGACTAAAGAAATAAATAAAAAAACAATATATATATATATATATAATAATATATAAATAAAATATATAAAATATAAAATACTAAATCTTTTTGTGTATTAGAGTAAAATATTAATTTTTAGTATATTTTTAAAAATTTAATTTTAATTCATTCAAAGATCACTTTTGTTAATTCAGTTAATATTATTATATGTTTTTTATCAATAATATGTTTCTAAATAAAAGATTTAGTATTTATAATAAAATATTCTATGTGTACTTAGCATCATGCAACCCGGATGCAATTCTGCATTTATTAGAAATACTGAATCAAATTTGGTATACAAGATGGTAGTACAAACCGAGCAGAGGATGACACTATATGAAAAATTAATGAGTCGAAAATGTAAGATATAATTTATTTAGAACGCGTGCACTTTTGAATGAACTTACAATCCTGAAAACTAAATTTTCTAACTTATTTTTCTCGAAATCAAAGCCTCGTACAAACAAATTTTATCTTACATTATCAACTTATGTTAGTTTTTAACATAGAATCGTTTCCTGCTCGGTTCTATCAACATTTATACGGGACCCTGAATAATAATTTTTTTATTACAATTTGTATTTTATTTATTAATATTAATAATTATTACTAAGTTTACTCTTAGGGAAGTTGTTTTTTGGACGGGTTTAATTAAGATGAACACTATATTTATCC